ATCCTCTCCTCTATTTGTGGAGAGGATGTAGGACTCGGGAGCTATAATAGGTTTGGTAACCAGGCTAGGATTGATGTACACACCGCTGTTCCCGCCTGATGGGTATCCTCCAGGTCCGCCTATGTTGATGTAAACGCCTCGTTTTGGAGAATCCTCGGCTATTAAAAACAGAAGCATTATCGTCAATAGTCAAACATTCTAATTATTGGATTTCAAAATCGAGAACAATCTGGATATCTAAATAGCTAACACACAAAACGGCATTGGACACGCCTAATCCAACATTACCTCCACCGCTTTGTACATAAAAAGATTTCACTCACCAGGTTGAGCCGAGCCTGGGCAACCATCATTACAGCCTTAAAAATGATAGAAACACAATGAATATACCACGTTTAGGATTGTGTTGATAGTTGATTCTTTAATGATTGACAAATAATAAGTATAGAAACATATGGCAGAAGACAAACAGTCAATCAAGACAAACAAGAATATAAAGTAGAAGGCACACGCTATTTCAAATATGCAACGGTTTTTAACTACTCATAATGGTATGCTGTCCATGTCAAATTCAATTGCAGTGCAATAGCTACAGGTTATAATTAGTTGGGCTGCCCTGACTGTGCGCGTTGAAGTAAATAAATGGATAATATATATTAAAGTAATGTATAATAGTTAGTATAGTAGCCAGTAAACATTGTTCACCTTTCTTTTCATGCTCGTTAAGCTCCTCAGAAGACTCCGGTAGGGAGACGAGCGGGAGAAACTCCGGCAGGGAAACAGATTCGTCTTCTGTTCATAGTTGAGAGGTAAAAAAACAAACAAATGATGTGTTTTAGACTAATTTGGTCAACTTTCAAACACATGACTTTTGCTTTACATCTGTATTCATACTGAGCAAGAGTGTTGCTCAAATTATAGTAATAAGCACACACACACACACACACACACACACACACACACACACACACACTAACTGCAACTTGCTACATAATGTAATCCAAAACCACAGAGTGTCTGTTACAGCATCATGATCAGTTACCATCGTGACAGGCATCTGGTTCAGGTCATTGACCTTTTATGTATGTTTGAAGAAGAAGAAGGATCAGAGCAAACACAATGTGTTTTCCTTCTGTGCAGGTAAACATGAACTACTCACCGGGAAGTCCCCTCAGACCCTGTTCTTCCTCATCATCAGCTTGGTCCAGGTCCGTCAGATGTACGGTTATCGTGTCTCCGAACTCGTCGTGGTCAACCTTGTTCTCACTATCTGCTCGGGCGTGGAACCAACACAAATGAGAGCGTACATGACATGTTTCCATCAGTGTACACATCAAATTACTTTATAAAATCGCCTAAGGTTACAATTAGCAAGTGAATGAGGATAAAATTCTTCTGGATAGTTCATCGATAGCTGAAAGCAAGACCGAACGGTCCTGATGTAAAGACGATTCGAACAAAAGCTGCATCTGCTGAGCTAATTGTAGCATATCGATGGTCATAGCAACATTGACGAATAAGTATTGATATGTTTTGTGAATTATGAAAATGACTTAGTCCTTACTACTAAACATACAACACACAACCGTAGTCTAAGTGTTGGAAATTGACTTGTACCAACACAGATGTTTCATGCTATACAACACTGCTACATTATAGAACAGATGCAATGTTTACTTTCATGTATGACTTACCAGATACGCTGTCTTCTTCATCGGCCCTTCGCTCATGATCGTCCTCGTCGATGGCTTGAAGCAGTGATGCGAAATCTATCATCACCTTGTCATCATCAGTTTCCGCGTCTTGTACACAGGGAATAAATACAGGATCAATACCAGAATAAAAGAGACTATTTTTGTACACAAATAAGTGTTTTTATTCAGCAGACGTTTCGGTGTCCGTTTGTCACATTAAATCCTTAATACTTTCGCGTATGACTTCGACATCGTGTACGGATATGATAAAAACAGTGCTAATACCGTTGTCAATAATAGATAAAGGTTAGTATCAAATTTTATTTTGACTTTAGTTACAAGCTCCTTTTATGGGAAGGTACCAACTTTTGTGTTCACCACTTGTATGCTAAAAATTCAGTGTCAAAGATGGCATTACAAGTAGTACAATAATTTATGGTTTCTACGATTGAAATATTATTGCTAATGCGAAATAAAAAGCCTCAATACGAAGTTAAGAATGATGCCGGTAACTATATGCTACACATACAAACCTAGCCTGCCTTGTCCCGATCCGTACATGTTTACCATGTTCCATGGCATTTACAAGTTATTGAATTTCACATGCTTGCATGTAACGAAAGAATTAACAACAGTGTTACCAGCAGTTTCTTCCTCTTCATTGTCCCTGACTTCCTGGATGTGTTCGTCAGCATCTGCCACGTGATCAGTGAGGCCATTGAGAAGATCCGTGATCTGTTCCATGTACATGTCCTGGTCCATCAGGTCTCTCCGTACTGTTGGGGACAAAAATTATCATGTCAACAAATGAATAGCAAAGTTCTTTCATCACAACCATTTATTTTCTTACGAGCCGACGTTTCGATGACCGTCTGTCATCTTCATCAGGGCAATTCTGACTGGTTTACTGTGCACTGACGCTAGATGTTACTTGGTGCATAGTGCACTAAAGGTGTTACATAACATAAAAATAAATGGTTGTGATCAAAGAACTTTGCCATTCATTCGTTTACCAACCTTATGAAATTATTTACGAATCATGTCAACATTTCTACGAAGTACAACGCTTTCTTTGTTTATTGTTTATTTCAGACTCGACGGTCCATATTTACGAACGTATACACAAGCAAATCTAAAAAAAAAACGTCAAAATATATGCAGTTGTTTAAAATGATTAAGACTACCTAGCTGCCCTGTCACAAGGAGGCCCACTTACGGTGGGCGGACTAATCTACAATAGTTTGATTTAACCTTCGTCAAGAAGCAATATGTCTTTTGGTACAGTTCGTATGCATGTATGTGGATTAGCACGAGAACTCAAGAAGCTATGGATAGATCTTTTTTAGAAACAATCATGAATTTATTATAAACTTTCATCTGTGTTGGTAGTAATCATAGTAAAATATTGAACTCTATTCTAACACAGGGGTATGCAGGGATCAAATTTTCAACGACCACTGTCGGCTTTGTAATCAGGATAATTAATTACCAACCATTTCCGAACGTAAACTCATCAACATTTCTTCGAAGTACAGTGGCAATGGTATTTTCTTTGATTACCTTCCAAAAGAAGGTTATGTTTTTGACAGCCTGTGTATGTATGTATGTATGTATGTATGTATGTCTGTATGTATGTGGTTTAGCTGGTTAACTCAAATAGCCATGGGTGGATTGTCATGAAACTTGGTAGGTGGGTAGGTCTTGATGGGACCTCGAAATGACTCAGGTAAGATTGTGGGGTGAGAAAAGTTGTGTTTTTCCAAGCATATAACCTCTAGCCAGTAATGACAGGAATCGAATCACAGATTTGAATTGAGACACGCTCCTCAAAAATGTTGTCTAAATCGCTTGAGGCCAGAGGCAGACAATTCGCACGCATCAAGTACCACACCACTCTTCTGACTCATAGAGATGGTTGAATGAGAAGGTGATGACTTTGCCTATGTCGATACGTTTATATATGCTTGAATAAGTTTTGTGTGCAGAATGACATACATATTAAAACATATCAAATGCCCGTTGAACAGGGGTTTTAGCTTGGTAGTAACTACTCAACAGGTTACTCTCCAAGCGATTCTTTCCACCAAAGATGCCTAGAATGTGAATCTTATGAGTTAGTTTGTCGATACGTTTTGAACTCTGCTACTCAGTTCTGTGTGTGTAAAACCACAGTGACACATCAAAAGCCGATTTTAGCTTGGTAGTAAGCATAGACAGGTTACTCTTCAAGAAATTGTCTCCAACCAAGATGGCTTCTCACATTTGCCCTGAAGGGAACACCGCCCCCTTCCTTTGTTGCATGCTTAAGAGCGTGACGATTTGATTACAGAAGAAAACACTCTGTCTTTGTTCGCAGGAGATCCAAAATATTGAAATGAAAAGACGACCTAGATCTCATCAACAGATAGACATTTTCGCTGTAATGTAGACTGTTTTGACGGAAAGACTGTGATGCTCACTTAAGCGGATTCTGTAGTTAAGATTCTGTCACTGAATTGGTAACTTAAAATAGGATAATTATCATATCAACACCCTTGTCTCTTTTGTAACTAATTTATTTCTTACTCTTAGTTTCTTTAGTGTGCAGTATCTGTCATCAATGAAGTGATATAATATTGATCAATGGCAAACACCATGTCAGCAGGGTTTTCTTCATTTTTACGTATCTTACGTATACACGACAACGCCGACAACAACATACCAGAACCCAAGCTTGCTGCGTGGCCGGAGGGAGTGGCATGGTCAATAGAGGGGAACCAAACATAAAAATGCAGTGGGTACCACGGGTAAGAATGGACAATGATTAGGTTGAGACAAATTAAGTTATCACTTAATCCATGATTGTTTGCACACTTTCACAGATATGATTCACGCAGAGATTCGGCGTAATTTTGAAGTGTTTTTGTCATTCTTTCTTTTTGTTGTACTGGTATCTTTTTTGGGAGGGGGGATGGATAATGTCCTGTCAATTCAATATTGTCCTACAGCTACCAAAAGATTTACTTATAGATTATCAAAACATAAGTCACAGAGTCGACTGCACCTGTTCCGGGGACAGGATAACAGTAGCTTTTAGTGAATTTAGTCATTGAGTAAATTTTACAGACAGATGTTGTTAGCATGCTAGCAATATGTTGTTCCTCTGAACTATTCAGGGTGATACACAGATTTTACTACCCTTTACACTAGAAGACAATCGCACTGCAACCGTACGGCAGCCATTGGAATCTTTTTGTCCTTGATTTCATACTTGGAATGTGGTCCAAGGTGTAAAAGTACGATTTAAAAAGTCAACAAAACACATGAAACGTAAAAAAAACTTTCGTTCATAAAATTAGTCAAGTAAAGTATAAAAAGTTTGGTCGCCTAGCAGTGGCCGTATACAGTGCAAAAAGTGTGGTACAGGTGCATATCACCTGTACCACACTTTTTAAGATAAAGGTCGTCGACATCGTTGCATCCTACTGTAGTTAGATATAGACAACTCTCGCTTGTAGTCAGACAGGTCTGCCGAACCTCCGATCTGACTCAGAAGAGCAAAAGGTCATCACTGGTCTATTAGACAATAGAGGGACATATGAAATATGATACAGATGACCCCCATTGAGGACTCCATTTGCATAATGTGTTCTTAAAAGTTGAAAGTTATCAAAGGCAAAGAGGGATTCCAAAGCAAATTTAATGTGACTCGACCCTGCCTAACCCTAACCTACAGAACAAACACAGAAGTTGTCCACGTTAGCTTGTTCGCCTATGTTAACTTTCTGTCTGTACCGCCGATCTTTCTTAAGGTGTGACATGCCTTAAGGGGACACTTTGCTCTTTATACAGACACCGGTGTTGTCTAAACTTTGTTCACGCCCCTTCTTGAGTCAGTAGGGTTTGGTGTTGTCTGATTGAGCTTCAGTAAAGTTAAAGTACGAATTTATATCTAAACTCGACAGGGTTACACACTATATCACACCTGTAACACGACTCATATTCAACATAATCGTCCACTTTGCAGTCATTTGATCAATCGATTAATGTCAATGTCCGGTGTTGCTGTGTTTGAGTTTTTATCACTTTTTATCAGGAGGGCCACATGGTCACTCTTCATCTTATATAAAGCACAGACCACATAAAAAACTTTTTAAGACATCTGTGCGGATCTTTTCTAGCTACATCTACATTGTATATGACTCCGATTTTATGCTCGAACACTCGAACCCCCGTATATATAGCAACGACGAAAGTTGGTCGAAGTCTGCGGATTCGTACTGGTTTGTGATAACATACGGTGCGGCAAAATTCGTCATAGGACATCTTACGATTTAAATCTGAGAGCATTTTGAAGCATACAATTACAGAACCAACCGAGGACAGAGATGGAACTAAGAAAGCCGGTTTTCTGTGTTCAGGGAACAGCTGTAATTTGTAAGACACACGCAGGATTGTACCAAAAATCCCGTCAGTTTGCAAACGTACGACAATGGCATAATGTACGTATATAACCAGGCCGATATGAAAACCAATAAAGGAGAGCCCTACCTGGTCCTGAACAGACGCAGACGGCGACCGCGGCCAGCATCACCAGCCGTGCGACAAGCTGCATCCCTGCGGCGCCTTCCTACTGTCGCAGTGTGTCAAAATAGTCCTCGCTGTCACAGCGCGCGACAACTGACGTCTCTACCGCGGCAATGCCCAGGAAAAGTTCCCAGCTTTCCCGACGACTCTAGCGCAGCACCTCACACGAACTCCGACCGTCTCCCAGCGCAACAGCTGCCCAAGAGCGCCCGATCGTACGGAGTCAACCTGTTCTCACCGCCTCTGATGGAAGACTGAACGCGCCGAAGACTGGAAAGACCGGACAGACTTCAGACACTGTCCTGGTTATTGGTACTCAGTCCTAGCTAGCTGGGAATCCCTTAAAGCTATATACCAGTAGCACTGTGCCATAGGGTGCTACTTTTAGGACATGGCACGTTTTGTATTGCGTCTCCCACTGTTACCATGTTCCCTGATAGAACTTAAAGAAAACTAGATCTGCAGCTGTAGGTGCTTTGTGTCTCTTCACTTTTACTTAAAGTAATAATATAATCAAATCAATTTTGAAAGGCCTATACTTTACGATTTAGATCTGATTGACAGCCCGTATGGTAAAGAATAGATGTACTACTTTTAGTACAAGGTTTTATCATCTTAGCCTTTGTTTGAGTCTCCTTGGCTAAGATTCGGTAACATACAGACGACCCAAATACGAATTGGGGGGCGTTCCCATTGTTCTTGTTCAATATTAAGTTTCCTTCTTTTTAGTTATCTTTTACTTCCAGAGCTACCTAAAACAATAAGTATAAGGGAGTGACTGATCAATGGCTTAAGAGATCTGGCCTTTTTTTCCGGTTAAGCAAAGTTGATCAACAAAATTTACCCTGCCTTTCTTATTATTCATAATTGCCTTCTGGCTATGTCTAACCTTTTACGCTTATTTAAGCTATTGTCTCTTTTCACCAGTTTGCTTTCGTTGTTTTTTTTAGGTCATGGTGTTGCACACACACACACACACACACATTTAGAACAGTCAGACCTGATTATAGTAGACGAGGAAAAACAGTTATGAGAGACATAGAGGAGATGGGTTTCACTTGGGACGGAGTAACAAGACAGGCGATGGACAGGGGAGAAAGGGAAAGCTGCGGAGACCCGCATCATCCACAGATCCATGAGACGATGATGATTGTAACCAGCATTGGGACTTGAGGAAGATGGTTACAGTAGACAGATGTTCCCTACAGAGATGATTCGTAATGCTGACCAAAACTGACCAAAATGGCCAAGTCCTTGTGCAAAAGCGGTCACTAATACAGGTTTAAATCTGTTGATGTTGTTGTTCGGTATAGATATTAGCGGTTAACTACAATAGGCATAAGGGACTAACTACGGCGCAGCCTGTAAATTGGTGGACAGAAGGTAATTGGTGAAGCATAAAGAAACACAACATATAATGTATTTTTCTAACCTTTATTTTCAACCGCAAACACAACAAAATGTTACTTATCCATAACCACCCCCCCATAGTGATTATCGATTACTTATCTCAAATAGACAAAGAGTTATTTGGTTAAATACGTCGATCGTCCTAGAATCATTTATTGGTTAAAATCAATTGAATTGGTAACGTAGCAGTTTTGAGATTCTCCTAAATCTTGTTTGGTGCCATGTAGATCTGTTGTAATGTAATACGTCAGTGGCAGTTGCCTGTGACAGAAATACTGCAATACCTGAATATAAAACTCACCCTAAATGTAAAACTTACTGTAAATTACGTTAATGGAAAATCAACCAAATTTTGAAATTTCGTAACCCATATTCCAAGCTTAGAAGTAGTTGCTGATTGACAGCCTGAATATAAATGAATATAAAAGCTACTTTTACTAGAAGGCTGTACCAAATAGACCGCACCATTTACTTACATATATATATATTTATCATATCATCAGGGCGATGGGTGTGGGAGTGTGGGGATGAGTCTTTAGATGATTCGGTTGGTGAATGATTTGAATAGCAAAGTTCTTTATTCTAAACCTTGTTTAACAAGAGTCGACGTTTGGATGACCGTCTGCTATCTTCATCATAAAAAAAATTAATGGCAAAATCAAATCAACATATCTAAACGTTACCAGTAGTTAGACCAGTCAGAATTGTTCTGATAATGATGATAGACGTCAAAACGTCATCGAAACGTCGGTTCTTGTGAACCGGTTCTCAATAAAGAAGGTACTACTTGATGACCAAAGCTATTAAACTGCCGAGTCTCTTTCGTTCTCTCCTATTTTTTTTTATTTATTTCAACTTTTTAAGGCCCCTTGTCCCTACTTGCGGCAGCAAAAATAGCTTTGGTAACCAGGCTAATTTCAGAGAGGTTAAGAACTGGCCACAGGGCACTTCATCATCACTATATGTAATTACCTTCGCCAAGAAGGTTATGTTTTCAGGGGCGTTATTTGGTAGGTGGGTAGGTGCTGATGAAACCCCTTAGCGGCTTACTGCAGCAAAACTTCCGGTTTTAATATCTCGTGATCTAGACATGCTAGAATTACGAAATTTACATGGTAGATAGCTCTTGGGCTGGGGATGAATTGACAGGAGTTTGAACTGCAGGGGCATTTGATGAAATGTTAACATCATTCGGCGTAAGGTATGAGATCGTGGAACTCTTAAGTTTTCTGCTCAGTCGAGTGAAGACTTGAGCAGACGGAGCAGCTCCCTGACACGGCTCATCTTCTCCTCCGCCACGTCTGCCTCTGTCAACTCTCTCTCATTGGTCAGGGAATCCAGGTCAAAGGTCATGTTCTCCACCTCTTCTTCTTCTTCTACCTCAGAACGCTTGCCTGTCAGAGAGCAAACAGAGAGCAAATGGTTCATTTCATAAACAAAGCTGGCATTTTCAGAGCTTTGATCAAGATTCATTTGGCATTTGGCACCAGGCTACACTTTCTGGATCGCATAACATAATCTGCTTTTGACTAAATAAGTCTTCGTTGTCATCAAATATCTAGAAGAATATAGAAGAAGCCTATTGGTCTCCAGTAAAATAAATCAAATGAGAATGAAATGGTACCAACACATAAGAGACTTAAAGAAATTAAAAATATTGGAATAAGGCAGTAAGAGCTATCTGCTACCCAGACCTTATGACCCTAGCATGTCCAGAACACGAAATATGGAAACAGGAAAGACTATATATATATGAATGGTTTATTTCGATACAAACTACACATCGTACAAAACATACATTAGCAGCCATTATCCGCTGAAATGATGTATGATTTACATTGCATTGTTAAAAAGCTCCACTCAGTGATACTTACTAAATAGGTAACGTAGCATTAGGCAAACAATCACAAGGGACAACTGTTAAAATCAACGCAAGATAACGACATTAATTCTAACTCCAACGCTATAAATCATATTATATAAGAAAAACAAGTCATGCATAAACATTAGTATAGACTTTGTACTTACTCGTGCAATACTTTGAGTGAAGCTCATTCGCCTCGAAAGCCGGATCCTTGCATGTTACCGCTGAAAAAACAACAGAATTTTGGTCCCCAAATCATCTAATCATGGCACTATTTTGATGCAGTATGCAGTACACAAAGAGCAAATTACTTCTAGATATTATATCAATCAGTCTGTTATACTATCATCTATCTCAATTCACCTTTTAGACACAACGTAACTTAAGATTCTAGGTTATCTCCTAGGGTACTTCTACTAGCACACACACACACACACACACACACACACACACACACACACACACACATATATATATATATATAAGCTAGTAGAAATAGTTTATAGTTATTAACTGTTATTTGCCATACATTGTAACCAATGTAATTGTTGTGCAATGAATTGACTTTGCTTCACTTCACTTGTCTATAATCATAAACTTAAGGTTTCTTACGTGAACATGTCTTCATGATCGTGTCAAACTGAGGGTGTTTCGTCAATTGACCGATCCAACTCGCCCAGGCACCGCAATCCAGGGCTGAAAACAACATTAATCGCATGATGTTAACAGTAGATGATAGGTAGTATATAGTATTGTAGTTGTAATATATAGATTCCTAGCACTTAGCATTAGAATATAGCGTCCCAGTATGCAATACTCATGTTTTTTCTTTATTAAAACATTTAGCAGCAAAGTGGACAGGATGACGACACACTCAAGCCGAAGCTTATGTTCATGTCGCCATCTAACATTACAAAAATACAAAAGCAAATGCAAAAACAGACATGCAAAGCTTAATAATAACAGAATAGAATAAATAAGGTTACAATGTGTAAAGTACTCCAGGCAAAACTTACAAAATTGGTAGGAAAGAATTACTCAAATCTTTTAGTTTCCTTTATAAACAAGAGTTCTGAGATCTCATACCTCCATGAAATATGAGCTTGATATGTAAATGTAAATTTCTTCTTTAATTACGCAAATGACCTCTGCATTAACATAATATATGCGTCGTGATGTTAACTTTTGATTAACTTAAAGATGTCCCAAGTATGACATTCCCATCATTCACCATTGAGAAATCATTGATTTTTTGCATTAATTATGCAAATTAGGTCATCATTTGCATAATTAGTATCTGTTAATGTTTCATCTGCCATAGATTACATACATTACATGTATGAAGGTTCTATAATGTAAAACACTGTAATTATAGAATTTCCTCATTAATTATGCAAATAAAGTCCTCATTTGCATAATTTGCAGTTAATTATGTACATCTCTCTGTCAGATACCTACACACCAAAAATGATGAAAATACGCTGTTCCTATCTGGACTTATTGGCTTTCAAAGATTTCGCCCGAAAGTTCCCTGCAGTTCCTGAACAAGCTGCTAGGGGGACCAAACCCACACCACTTATTCCTGACAGGAAAAGCTATCTGTCACCAAAAATTCAAGACCATAGCATGTTCAGGACCAAAGATAGAAAAACCGGAAGTTCTGCTGCAGTACCAAGGTCATCCACCAGGAGGCCCATATTTGACCTTGACCTTTGTCTTCCTAAGACTTATCATCATACCAAATATCATCACAATCCATAAAGGCGTCATGAAGTTATGCTGACTACAAAGTTGCGGAAACACACACAGACACACAGACACACAGACACACAGACACACAGACACACACACAGACACACAGACAGACGCCGCCAAAAACAATACCTCCATTTTTCATGGAGGTAATGATTGAACATAAAGTAAAAATTTTAAGTTATTTGGATATGATAGTGATACAGAACCTCTAAGGAATAAATGAACTAAAACATCATCAGAGAGATCATTGAGGTTAATGTGAAATCCTACCAACTTAGCTAAATTGCTAAAAAGGGAGGCACGATATTGTGTATATTTAGGGCAGTACAAAAAATAATGCTGGATACTTTCAATGGGATGGCCACAGGTACATGCAGGGCTGGTTGTCAGACAATACTCATGTTGTTATTCTATCGACCACACTTGATCACATTTGTACATTTAGCCCATCTGGACAAGAACATGCAATAAAGATTCATATCATTTATCATTTACATCAACACTCCCAGAGCCCTGATGCCACTGATAAAAGTGACTACACCACTATACGGCAACTGAAATTGTAAAAAGGATGCAACTAGAATTATGGCCGCTTACTTTGAGATGAACTCTTAGACGTAGTCTTAGACGTAGTTTGCGTCTTGCTGGCGAATCCTGGAACAAGAAGGGTAGAAATTGTTATTTTTCTGTGGTCTAGCATCCGCATAGCAGAAACCGTTAGGTAAACCTTTCAGCTATACTTAAAACATAAGCTTGTACCCTATCATTTCAGTATGCTATGAATGTTGGCCACGGCATATTAGATATATGCCTAATTGTCTTCAAACCTGGAGAAAAAGCGATGTCAACAGTACATGAGGCAAAAAAGCGTACCAACGTAGAGACATTCTTCATTAAGGAAGCTATGTTTTAGGACATTACCCTCTTGCTAGACCCTCATACATGGTAACAGTATATCATCACCATATCATACATTAGTTCAAGTTAGAGGCAATGATAAAATACCTTTGCAGTAAGTCTCGAATAGCTTGGGCTTCCCTGTCTTGAAGGCCGCGGCCTTACATATTTGTGCTGTGGAACGAAAGAACAACTTAGAACCCAGCCCTACGTACATTGATAAAACACGGTTCATATTTAAGAATCCCCAATGTATCTCGCTTGCCACTTAACTATCCACACTATAATTTTATACGATATATTTCTAATTCATATATATACGTGTATAATATGAATAAGCCAGGAAGTTTAATGTCTCAAAAAATAATTTAAAACAATTAGTGCCTTACGTCTGCACGCGTTCATAATCTGGCCGAACTGTGGATGTTTTCTCATGGACTGGATCCACGTCTTCCAGGCTCCGCAGTCAAGAGCTAGAACGTGAAACAATTTATAAGTACACCAAAACAAATAAACAAATAAACAAACAAAAAACAGAGGTTAAGAACATGTAAATAAATTAATTTGGAAAGCTCTAATGACTGATGATCAACAATGTGCCCATGGTAAAATTAACCACTGTCATACTGACGTTTTTGACATTGTTCGACAAAAATATTATTGGATGCACAAGGATCTTACGAATTTAATTTAAAAGTAGAAACATACATTCAGCAAACAGACATCTAATAACACTTACTCTTCGATGAAGACGACGTCTGAGTCTGGCTAGAAATCGCTGTAATAACAAACACAAATTTTAAACGTTATTTAGTTTTATTATAATGTAAAACATTATCAAAGGAAGACACTTTTAAATATATCATATCATGTACAAATATAGACATCATCAATGAAGTATGTAAGTATATTTCAAAATGTTTCAAAAAGAGAGAAGAAGCCATTAGAGCTTAGATTGATACCACTTTATATACATATATTTCTTTTTTAGCATTGTATACCTTAGACCTGATGTTAGCCTTTCTTTATTATTGTTGTTGTAATTTCTCTCTAGTACATTGTACTTTGCACATCCGTGCATTTATCCCCCCGGGGAATGAACATGCAATAAAGTTTCATATATATAATCACTGTGGAAATGATCATTTGTAAAAAAAAAATTGCTATTTGTTTTGTTTGATGATCACTTTGCAACACTGCAGATCTGAAAAACATGTGTGTGTGTTTTTTACATGTTGTTGAAATTATACTATGCAATCCGTACAATTGTTGGTGAGTGTGAAATGATTTATAAACACCTATAATCTCTCACTTACATTGTAAGTAAGCCGCACAGCCGAGGGTTCCAAACATGTCTGGGTAGGTCGTCTTGAAGGCAGCGTCGCGACATGTATTCGCTGTAAATAAAAAGACAGTTTGAATCACATAATTATACATTGTTTGTGATGAAATGATCATGAATACCAAAATCTGATGATATCTATTTGCTTACTGTACATTTGTGTATTTTACATGGTGAGGATTTTGAAAATAGTATATATTTACCAAGAAGATTTGCCAATTAACCAACCCAAACCATTGGAATCTCTGTTCTATAAACACGGAGCAGCATTTAACCCTTGTCCTGCTGACAATTTTTACACAATATTTTCAAATAATTTCATGTCTTAATCAGGTTACAGACCCTTGACTTTTTTTTGCCCTACGGCGGTGTAGTTACTTCCGCATTCGTTGCGTTTCGCTGCGGTGTGATGCGTTGCACGAGAAATACCCCCAAATCGTACCTATACAGGGTGCTATATAGATGGTACTGTATGTGCCGCGCGACATATGTTGCGCACAGCTTAAGAAAATGTCTATCTAGTAAATGTCAATGATATGACACTGTTCCCCTAGAGCATGTAAAAACAGGTGGGAAAATTGCGAAATAAACCAACAGTAAAATAACTCATACGTTTGCATGAGTTCATGATGCTCTGGAACTGGGCAGCAGGAAGTTTCTTCTTCATGTCTCCGTACCAGGTCTGCCATTTGGCGCAGTCTAGCTGGACCTCTGAGTATGGAATGTACAACAAAAAATGAACGCTTCATCTGAAATAAAATCTTCATCTTAATTCTGATAGTTTAGATATTGACACTAAAGGTAGGTACTTTAAAACTCTAGGCAAATTGTGAACTTTAAGGTACTGTATGAAGTTGCCCTTTTTTAGAAGAACTGTTACTTACGTTGTGTCTGAGACTGCACCTGACTTTGTATAGCTGTAAAACAGAAAACTTTAGTTGAGACAAGCGTTTGGCAAATACAACTAATTTCACGTGTAGGTATCATTGATGATATTTTCGTAATTTGATTTGATAAAGGCGATTTGGCAAAGATAAACTACAATATCAAATTGAATATGTTTTGTACTTTTCTACTTACACAGTAAGTAAGCTGCACAGCCGAGGGTTCCAAACATGTCGGGGTAGGTCGTCTTGAAGGCAGCGTCGCGACATGTATTCGCTGAAAACAATACGTTTGAATCACACAATTATACATGGTTTGTGATGAAATGATCATAAATACCAAAATCTGATGATATCTATTTACTTACTGCACATCTGTGTATTTTGCATAGTGAGGATTTTGGTAATAGTATTTACCAAGAGGATTTGTCAATTAACTAGCCCAGACCATTGGAAACTCTATAAACACAAAGCAGCATTTAAGGAAATGTCTATCTAGGAAATATCAATGGTATGAACAATGTTCCCCAAAAACAGGTGGGAAAACTGCGAAGTAAATAAACAGTAAAACAGCTCTTACGTTTGCATGAGTTCATGATGCTCTGGAACTGGGCAGCAGGAAGTTTTTTCTTCATGTCTGCGTACCAAGTCTGCCATTTGGCGCAGTCTAGCTGGACCTCTGGGTATGGAATGCACAACAAAAATGAACGCTTCATATTGAACAAAATCTTCTTCTTAATCTTGATAGTTTAAATTTTGACACTTAAGATAGGCACTTTGAAACTCTAGGCAAATTGTGACCTTTCAGCTACTGTATGAAGTTGCCCTTTACTAATTTAATGATTATTCACCAAAGAAGGACGGTTACTTACGCTGTGTCTGTGACTGCACCTGACTTTTTATAGCTGTAAAATATAAAACGTAATTGAGACAAGCGTTTGTCAAATACACCTAACTTTACGTGTAGGTATCATTGGTGATTGTTTTGTAATTAGAATTGATAAAGGCGATTTGATAAAGTTAACCTGCAATGTCAGTACTTTTTGTACTTTTCTACTTACACAGTAAGTAAGCTGCACAATCGACAGCCTTAAACATGTCTGGGTAGGTCTCCTTGAAGGCAGCGTCTCGACAAGTATTGGCTGGAATCAAAACAAACGGTTTTGTCAGTACATTGTGACTAGAATTAATTAGCAAAAATGTCAAATGAAATGCTGTTCATCTACGAATGGCCATTGAAGGCAACATTAAGAATGTTGGTATGTATAGTGGAAGTTGTATTAAAGTTACGTTTGCATGAGTTCATGATGCTCTGGAACTGGGCAGCAGGAAGTTTCTTCTTCATGTCTGCGTACCAGGTCTGCCATTTGGCGCAGTCTAGCTGGACCTCTGGGTAGGAAATGCACAACAATAATGAACGCTTCATCTGAAACAAAATCTTCATCTTAGTCGAGATAGTTTAAATGTTGACACTTAAGGTAGGTACTTTGAAACTCTAGGCAAGTTGTGAACTTTCAGTCACTGTATGAAGTCGCCCTTTACTAATTTAATGATTTAAAGAAGAATGGTTACATACGCTGGGTCTGTGACTGCACTTGACTTTTTATAGCTGTAAAATAGACAACGTTAGTTAAGACAAGCGTTTGTCAAATACACCTAACTTAACGTGTAGGTATCATCGATTATTGTTTCGTATTTCGAATTGATAAGGGCGATTTGATAAAGTTAAACTACAATGTCAATACGTTTTGTACTTTTCTACTTACACAGTAAGTAAGCTGCACAATCGACAGCCTTAAACATGTCTGGGTAGGTCTCCTTGAAGGCAGCGTCTCGACAAGTATTGGCTGGAATTAAAACAAACGTTTTTGTCAGTATATTGTGACTAAAACTAATTAGCAAAGAAGTCAAATGAAATGCTGTTCCTCTATAAATGGCCATTGAAGGCAACATTAAGAGTGTTGGTATGTATAGTGGAAGTTGTATTAAAGTTACGTTTGCATGAGTTCATGATGCTCTGGAACTGGGCAGCAGGAAGTTTTTTCTTCATGTCTGCGTACCAGGTCTGCCATTTGGCACAGTCCAGCTGGACCTCTGCGTATGGAATATACAACAACGATGAAGAGAAACACTTCATTTGAAACAAAATCTTGATCTTAATCTTGACAACATGGATCGTGACACTTAAGGTAGGTGCTCTGAAACCTAAGATAGACACGTTCTTAACCCTTAACTACAGGAGCTGAAGTTCTCCTTTCTTTTATCTGACAATATTATGTGATAATAATCACCAAAGAAGAATTAAGGTAACTTACGCTGAGTCTGCGACTGTACTTGGCTTTGTATAGCTGTAGAATAGAAAACTTGAGTCAGGACACATTTTTCATATATATGCATAGCTTTAGCTTTAGGTATTGTTGTTGATGGTTGATAATCACCTCAAAATTTGAATTACCAAAGGCCATTTAACAAACTACAATGTCAATACGTTTGTACTTCTCTACTTACACAGTAAGTACGCTGCACAATCGACAGCCTTAAACATGTCTGGGTAGGTCTCCTTGAAGGCAGCGTCTCGACAAGTATTGGCTTCAAATAAAAGTTATAAAACAAACGTTTTTGTCAGTACATTGTGACTACAGCTAAAGCAAAGAAGTCAAACGAAATGCTGTCCATCTACAAATGTCCATTGAAGGCAACATTAAGAATTTTACGTATAGTGGAAGTTGTATTAAGGTTACGTTTGCAAGAGGTCATGATGCTCTGGAACTGGGCTGCAGGAAGTTTCTTCTTCATGTCTGCGTACCAGGTCTGCCATTTGGCGCAGTCTAGCTGGACCTCTGCGTATGGAATGTACAACAAAGATGAAAGCCTCATCTTCAACAAAATTGTTATCTCTATCTTAAAATTTTTAACCGTGACACTTAAGGTAGACAATTTGAACCTAGAGGCAGATTGTAAACTTCCAGCTACTGTATTAAGTTGCCCTTTTTTAATTTAATGAGTAATCACCAAAAAAAGAATTATCATATGGTAACTTACGCTGTGTCTGAGACTGCACCTGACTTTTTATAGCTGTAAAATAGAAAACTTTCGTTGCAACAAGTGTTTGTCAAATACACCATACTTTACATATAGGTATCATTGATGATTGCTTCGTAATTTAAATTGACAAATACCATTTAAATTAAACTGAAATGTCAATACGTTTGTACATTTCTACTTACACAGTAAGTAAGCTGCACAATCGACAGCCTTAAACATGTCTGGGTAGGTCTCCTTGAAGGCAGCGTCTCGACAAGTATTGGCTAGAATTAAAACAAACGTTTTTGTAAAGACCTTCTGACTAAAACTAAAGCGAAGAAGTCAAATTAAATTAAATGTAACATTATTAAAAAGAAAACATTGGTAAAACTGTGATCTGTATTAAGAATGTTGGTATGAATTGTGGAAGTTGTATTAGAGTTACGTTTGCAAGAGTTCATGATGCTCTGGAACTGGGCAGCAGGAAGTTTCTTCTTCATATCTGAGTACCAGGTCTGCCATTTGGCGCAGTCTAGCTGGACCTCTGCGTATGGAATGAACAATGAAGAAAAATGCTTCATTTGAAACAAAATCTTCATTTTAATCTTGATGGTTTAAATATTGACACTTAAGGTAGACACTATAGGCAAATTGTGAACTTTCAGCTACTGGATGAAGTTGCCCTTCTTTTTAATTTAATGATTAATCACCAAAGAAGAATGGTAACTTACGCTGTGTCTGTGACTGCACCTGACTTTTTATAGCTGTAAAATAGAAAACTTTAGTTCAGACAATTGTGTGTCAAATATACTTAACTTAACGTAGGTATCGTTGATGATTGTTTCGTAATTCGAATTGATAAAGGGGATTTAGTAGAGTTAAACTACAATGTCAATACGTTTGTACTTTTCTACTTACACAGTAAGTAAGCTGCACAATCGACAGCCTTAAACATGTCTGGGTAGGTCTCCTTGAAGGCAGCGTCTCGACAAGTATTGGCTGGAATTAAAACAAACGTTTTTGTCAGTACATTGTGACTAAAACTAAAGCAAATAAGTCAAACGAAATGCTGTTAATCTACAAATGGCCATTGAAGAATTTTATGTATAGTGGAAGCTGTATTAAAGTTACGTTTGCATGAGTTCATGATGCTCTGGAACTGGGCAGCAGGAAGTTTCTTCTTCATGTCTGCGTACCAGGTCTGCCATTTGGCGCAGTCTAGCTGGACCTCTGGGTATGGAATATACAATGAAGAAAAATGCTTCGTTTGAAACAAAATCTTCATCTTAATCTTGATAGTTTAAATTTTGACACTTAAGGCAGGCACTTTGAAACTCTAGGCAAATTGTGAACTTTCAGCTACTGTATGAAGTTGCCCTTTTTTCATTTAATGATTAATCACCAAAAAAGAATGGTTACTTACGCTGTGTCTGTGACTGCACCTGACTTTTTATAGCTGTAAAATAGAAAAATTTAGTTAAGACAAGCGTTTGTCAAATTCACCTAACTTAACGTGTTGGTATTATTGATGATTGTTTCGTAATTCGAATTGATAAAGGCGATTTAGTAAAGTTAAACTACAATGTCAATACGTGTTGTACTTTTCTACTTACACAGTAAGTAAGCTGCACAACCCACGGCTGTAAACATATCTGGGTAGGTCTCCTTGAAGGCAGCGTCTCGACAAGTATTGGCTAAAAATAAAACAAACTTTTTTGTCTGTACGTCGATGAAGGTTAGACATCCAGGTAATACGATACGCCAAAAAGCAGTTACTCAAGCAACTGGATATGATTTTGAAAACGTCAGACGTTTCAGCTAGTATCCACTAGCTTTCGTCAGTGACTGAGAGACCAGAGGGGAACCAGGGTCACTCTTTCAAACTCGAGTCCACGGATATCTCAGACCGCGAAACACGCTGGTCGGAACGGGGTGTTAAAGAGGCAATATATGAAAGAATGTACAACCCCACCCTCAACAGGGAAGTGGGACAACGGGTCGATCTTTCCGGCACTTGGTATTTGGCACTCCCAGCGCCCAGAACAGACAACACTTAAGCTCCTGTTCTGTATAACAGGAGATTTCAGACTAATTTGCATCATCTTGTCTTGACTTGTCTGACTTTTGTTCCTTTTTCGACTTCCAAAAATTTGTCTTCACTTTATTTGCATATCAATCAATAGGTTGTGCTTATAAACCTGTTTTCCCCTCTGGTCTCTCAGTCACTGACGAAAGCTAGTGGATACTAGCTGAAACGTCTGACGTTTTCAAAATCATATCCAGTTGCTTGAGTAACTGCTTTTTGGCGTTTTTTGTCTGTACATTGTGACTAAAACTAATTTATAGCAAAGAAGTAGAAATAAAATGCTGTTCCTCTACAAATGGTCATTGAATGTAACATTAAGAGTGTTGGTAAGTATAGTGGCAGTTGTATAAAAGTTACGTTTGCAAGAGTTCATGATGCTCTGGAACTGGGCAGCAGGAAGTTTCTTCTTCATGTCTGCGTACCAAGTCTGCCATTTGGCGCAGTCTAGCTGGACCTCTGGGTATGAAATGAACAATGAAGAAAAATGCTTTATTTGAAACAAAATCTTCATCTTAATCGTGATAGTTTAAATTTTGACACTTAAGGTAGGTACTTTGAAACTCTAGGCAAATTGTGAACTTTCAGCTACTGTATAAAGTTGCCCTTTTTTATTTAATGATTAATCACCAAAGAAGAACCATGGTAACTTACGCTGTGTCTGAGACTGCACCTGACTTTTTATAGCTGTAAAATAGAGAAGTTTAGTTGAGACAAACGTTTGTCAAATACACCTTACTTGACGTGTAGGTATCATTGATGATTGTTTTGTAATTCGAATTGATAAAGGCGATTTGATAAAGTTAAACTACAATGTCAATACGTTTTGTACTTTTCTACTTACACAGTAAGTAAGCTGCACAACCCACAGCCTTAAACATGTCTGGGTAGGTCTCCTTGAAGGCAGCGTCTCGACAAGTATTGGCTTGAAATAAAACTTTCTTGTCAGTACATTGTGACTAGAACTAAAGTCAAATGACATTAAAGGCAACATTAGTAAAACGAAAACACTAGTAAATCTGTAAACCGTATTAAGAATGTTCATATGTATTGTGGAAGTTGTATTTAAATTACGTTTGCAAGAGTTCATGATGCTCTGGAACTGGGCAGCAGGAAGTTTCTTCTTCATGTCTCCGTACCAGGTCTGCCATTTGGCGCAGTCCAGCTGGACCTCTGCGTATGAAATATACAACAACGATGAAGAGAAACACTTAATTTGAAACAAAATCTTCATCTTAATCTTGAAATTTAGAAACGTGATACTTAAGGTAGACAATTTGTAACTATAGGCAAGTTGTGAACTTTCAGCTACTGTATGAAGTTGCCCTTCTTTTTTAATTTAATGATTAATCACCAAAGACGAATGGGTACGTACGCTGTGTCTGTGACTGTACCTGACTTTTTATAGCTGTAAAACAGAAAACTTTAGTTGAGAGAAGCATTTGATAAATACACCTAACTTTACGTGTAGGTATCATTGATGATTGTTTCGTAATTCGAATTGATAAAGGTGATTTAGTAAAGTTAAACTACAATGTCAATACGTGTTGTACTTTTCTACTTACACAGTAAGTAAGCCGCACAACCCACGGCCGTAAACATGTCTGGGTAGGTCTCCTTGAAGGCAGCGTCTCGACAAGTATTGGCTGGAATTAAAACAAACGTTTTGATCAGTACATTGTGGCTAGAACTAAAGCAAAGAAGTCAAATGACATGCTGATCATATACAAATGGTCATTGAAGGCAAACATTAAGAGTGTTGGTATGAATTGTGGAAGTTGTATTAGAGTTACGTTTGCAAGAGTTCATGATGCTCTGGAACTGGGCAGCAGGAAGTTTCTTCTTCATGTCACCGTACCAGGTCTGCCATTTGGCGCAGTCTAGCTGGACCTCTGGATAGGGAATGCACAGCAACGGTTAAGATATACAAATCAAAGCGTCCCCTTACTCTTCTAAGACTTCTAAATTACTAGGCTCAAATTACAAAATCCCCAGACATGTTGACACATTGTAACGTACTGAACAACTTCATAAGTTATGCAAAAATGGAAACTAAGAGATGTTTTACGTACGTTGTGTCTCCACCTGGCTTGAACTGGAACCTGCAAAAAGGTGGAAAAAACAAACTCTTGAATAACGAATACTGAGAAATCCAACGCTCATAAACGCCAGGTTGACATACGGTTTACAACTTCATCTTTCATTAAAAGATAAATGTAGTAAAACAAAGACATGGATGATTCCTTTCCATAGAATCCTGATCAAGTGGTGTTCGGGCTAATTAAAGTCGAAACTTAATTATGCTTCCTCAGAGGCACAGCAAAAGAGTAGGATTTGGTAAATCTATATCATATTCAAAGTGAATTCTAGCTTCATTGTGTGTCAAAATAGAATATTTATTTTTGTCGATGTCTTACTTTGTTGAGATTCTGCTTCCACTTTTTCGACCGCTGGTGGAGCTTCCGGCTCCGGTTCCGGAGCTGGAGTTTCCGGTTTTTGAGTCGGTGGAAGCTTTGTTGTAACTATGATCGGCTCGGCCGTTGTCACAACTACAGGCGCAGGTGTCTCCACTTTCGGGACCGGTGTAGTTACAACAACTGGCTTTTCGGTTGTCACAACTACAGGTGCAGGTGTTTCTACCTTTGGGGCGGCTGTTGTCACAACCACAGGTGCAGGAGTTTCAACCTTCGGGACCGGTGTAGTTACAACGACTGGCTTTTCGGTTGTCACAACCACAGGTGCAGGTGTCTCTACCTTCGGAACGGCTGTTGTCACAACCACAGGTGCAGGAGTTTCAACCTTCGGGGCGGCTGTAGTTACAACGACTGGCGCAGGTGTCTCTACCTTTGGGACGGGTGTAGTGACAACCACTGGTTTCGGTACTTCTGTTGCAACCACAACTGGAAAAAAGAGTAATTTTCTCTGAGTGAGGATTTTAGAACTGTTGGAATTGTTCATATATGTATACCATAAGATATACCTAATAGTATTAGTAATACAAGAGTGTGCAGTATATTCCTATGTATTGTTGTGCGGGTTGTGACAGGCCATTATGTGCTTTACAAATCCTGTAAATCATAAATTCAAGATGATCATGATGGCTGTTAGAAAATAAGTTGACTTACCTGGCTCTGCTGGGGCCGGAGGAACCTCAACCGGCACCTCCACTGGAACCGGTTCAGGGGCGGGCACAGGGACGGGTACAGGAGCTGGTCGGCTAGCCTGGCATGCTGTGCAGGCAGAAACATACAGTCTTTACTCACGTACTAATAAGTACAGACTTGCTTGTGTTTGTCACGCAATTTGCAGCTTGGGACACCATGAGCAAAGGCGTCATTAGAGCAGTTATGCTTCTACAAGGGTTGACATACATGTAATTATTGCGAGATGTTGCCATATTCCAGGTATGCTGCCTAGCCTGTGTTTTCTCAGGCAGTTTGGAGCTTTGGCCATCGGCTTCGACAAGGGCTTCGGTAGAGTTATATTTCTACATTAGGCTTGACATCTTCATCGCATAAAAGATTCTGTCAGATACATTAAAAGACATACTACATTAACTATGATTCTGTAAGGTAGCTTTTGCAATATGTGCTAAGAGAAATATGCTACTACCTGATTACGTGAATCTACCACTTAATTTTGGGTTCCAGAGTATCTACTAGAATAGAAAATAACACAAGGCTTACTCACCACATGGAGGTTTGGAGCAGCAGGGCTTGGTATCACCACCATACACGGAGATCTGGTTGTTAATGACGTTGATGGCTCCTTTTCCCGAGTCTGCAATAGATAAGATGCAGTTAGTGTTTTCTCAACTGTTCTAAGATGTATTCGTGTATATCGTTTACAAGGAGTCATTGTCATCTCTCCCGTAACTTAGTCAGCCATTGGGGCAGCATATTTTAATCTCCAAGCAGATCTTTCGGTGGCAAGACAGTATCCATTGGCCAGAGGAGTGTCCATTAGCCACCGAAGTTTGCAAATGGATACAGGACGGCCAATGGATACAGGATGGCCAATGGATACGGTCTTTTGCCACCCAACCGAAAGATCTGCTTGGAGATTAGCATATTTGGCAAATATTTTCCACTGCTGACGATCTTCTGCCAGTTCCAACAGCCAATTATATTTTCTGTTTACCGCCAGCTAACTCAGAAGAAATAAAAATTACTCAACTTGAGTCCATGGACTGAAACACATAATTCTGCTAGATCATCTCAAGTCAGGAGGACAAAAATTCAAATATTCTTTGAAAAAAGAAAAATTGAAACCACGGAGACATACTTGAAGATCCACCGCCGTCCTTTCCGCCACCGATGGAGATATACACACCGCGTGGCTCGGGCTCTAGAAAATAAATTTCACAAACTTATAATTTTCATCTTTTCATAATGTGAATACAGTGTGTATATAATCTGCAAATATTACAGTAATTGTTTCCTTACATTGTCACATCGCTTGAAGCTGAAGTGCAGGCGTACAGCAAGGATTTGACTGGTAGTAAGTTGACTGGCAGTGACAAAGTTTGTAAATTAAAACTGTATACGATTCTGATCCAGCGAGAAATTGAATAATTTATTTATTGATTGATTGATTGGCTCCACTTGTACCTATTTATTCTTCGTCTCAGGCCCATGAATTGTACAAATACATTAAGTTAATATTTAGATGTCATTCTCATACAATTTGAAAGTAGATAACTGTCGAACTTGTGTAACATTTCATAGTCTATCAGGTAAAACAAATAGTGCTTTGCTGATAAACTCACTGCCGAGTTGACACCGCCGTCCCGTGCAGCCCCTAGGACAGAGGCACCTGTAGGTGTAGCCCAGGTCCTGACACCTGCCGCCCTGTAGACAGGGGCTGGGGGCACAGTTACCCCCGCCTGGGGCAGGAAAAACAAGAGATTATTGATCTCATACGTCTGTTAAATGTTTACAGTTTTACTGAATTCCTTTTTATTTTGACACACAGCCTTATTACAGTCAGGTACATGTAAAGGAACAAAGGGAAGCAGGGCTTTGTGCATTCAAATTAAAACAACAACAGAAGTTAAATGATAAACAAGAGTCAGTAGAGTCCACAAAAAGAATAAGATAGCGTCAACAGTAATGACAAATTTGTTATGGATTTCTAACTGATAGTATATTTAAAATTCCCCCTATACAACAGAGAGAGAGAGAGAGAGAGAGAGAGAGAGAGAGAAAGAGAGGAAGAGAGAGGGGGTGAGATGGGACTTTTCTGGGACCTATGGCCTAACTTCATGCATATTTAGTTACATGAGATACCTACTAAACGTTAGCTATAGTATTTACCTAGTTGGCGTAGTTCTAGCTCAGGTGTCTCGCCATCGTACCCCCGTTTGGCGGGTTCCTCATCCTGCAGCTCTTCTACGCGCTTCCGGAGTTCCACCACCCGCTGCAGGTATCCCTCCAACACCTCAGCGTCAACGTTACTGTCCTCGTTTGGTACTGTGGAGATTAATGGTGGTCATTCTAGGTTTTTGTCTTTTAGATTTTCCGCATTTGTGGAAGAATTGACATAACGTGATTACCATCATTGTCAACCAGGAGACCTGTCTGTAAGGTTTGAACCACTCACACTGAGGCTGGCCCCTGCTTTTTTACTCATTGCATGGTCGCCACGTAACAAAGTCTGAAGGTCACTCCTGCTCTTTCGATGCGTACGGTAGGTTCTTTAACATGCTATTTGTGTGGCTCTCCTCAAACATAGGACCTCTGGTTTTACACCCCAATCCGGGAGGACGTCCCTAGCTATGTACTTATTTTTATTCAAGTCCAGTTAGAACATGCATGGGACTAAGCACAGCATCGAGTCCTGCCAGGAAGTAGAATTTAGAACCCTGATGCGTACATGTTGACAGTGATTTGCATCATACCTTGTAAGTTGTAACCAACCTTATTTTCGAGACGTTCGTTAATTCTAACCCAGTGTCTGAAACTAAAGATCATTGACCCTGGTTTTAGCTGTGTTGCCTACATCAACATTTTGTTACGCCCCCTTTTTCCTTCCTTGCGCTCCAGTAATCTTTCTAACCCTAAGGCATTGGTCAGTAAAGGATATACTAAGATGTGTGCTGTTACGCATTCAACTGTGCAAAACACTCAGATTAAGAATACAGAGAAAGTCTATAGAATGAGAGAACAATAACAAGCAAAGAAAAAAAGATTAAATGTGAAAAAAATAATTAGAGTGGAAGCACAGCGTCTCTTGTGTTGACGCCAGAGGCACATTCCGCAACTTATTTTTTTTTCAAAGTATAACTTTCTAATATTCAGAGAATGGATCTATCTTCGCTTGGATATCACATAACTTTTAAAAACACGCCAATAAGGAGAAAATCTATGAAAAAAATGATAAGATAAAAAAAACTTCAAAAGGGAGAAAATTAATTAGTGGAAACACTGTATCTCCCGTGGTGAGGCCTGAGGCACATTCCGCAACTTGTTTTCTCAACAAATAATTTTCTGATGTTCAGCAACTGAAACTATCTTCGTTTGAGTGGTGTTACACTTTGCCGCTCTGAATCTGTACTCCTAACTCCCCTGACATGTTGTCTCTCTATTTGGACAATTTCTACCCTTTCCAGCCACCTCTGAAGCCTGGTATAGGCTACTGAAATTGACATTTTTGTACAGGTGCACATTTATATAGTCTGACTTTCAAAATTTCTTTGATCGAAACTTTACCATTGTGAGAGCTTCATCATGAAGCTAGCTTTTGTCAGATTTGTCCCAGAATAACATTATAAAATTTAGGATACACTAAGTGTACATTTCAAGACAAATTGGATATTTCTACAGTCAACATCCGGGGATTTGGTGTTAACTCTCTGACCAATCGCTGAGCAGCAGAATTAGGGTCAGTCACCGCAGAACTTTCCCCGACACAAAGGACATCTGATAAAGCCTGTCACCTCCTTTGTTGACCTCTTGACCCTATTGTCTCATGAACTGACACAGGTGGTCACCTGTTTGGCCCTAGCTTTTAAACAGATCTTGAAACACGCGATCTAAGACCGTACTTTTCATGAGAACTAAAGAAAGCACTCGTCTAAATGCAGTTTAGACGAGATCCAACCATTACATGCACACAGGTGTAAGATAGTAAAAGTATAGCTTAGAGCAAAATGCAGACAAATTCCGTAGTGCCTATGGCGCACATTAGTCACTCTGGTCGTCTAAATGGAGGCTTTGTTCTTTGTTTTCTACGTTTGGAAAGCATAACATAGTTACAAGTGAGCTTCCCCCAACTGTCGTTGCCATTGCAGATAGACGTAACATCTGTGTCCATAATATCACCAGGGTCCATAATATCGCCACCTTGAAAAATATATTTTACTGCAACATACCCTAGGTATGTACATTTGATGTGTGAAGGAGTGCATACCAAAAGTATGTTGCAGTAAAAATATCTTTAAGCACACTGTAAAAATATCTTTAAGTACACTGTTTCTCAAGGTGGCGATATTATGGAACCTGGTGATATTATGGGCACAGATGTTACATGTAACTATAGTATCACTCAAAGGCGTCACTTAAATCCTGACAATAGGTACCTTAATGAAACCACTCCATTGTTGTCGTGCACATAGGAGAAACATTTCTGCATGCGCATATCACCGGAACAGTACATAATGTAGAGTTGTTGCACGCACTGATCTGGATATGATATGTTTCTACAGCCGTACCAAAAGCAGCCATCAAAAAAGACCAAGAAAGACTAAGTACTTGAAAAACTTGAGTGTCTTTGCCATCTGCAGTACGAAAATGGTTATGGCAAGTCAAAACGCCACCTCGCAATTTCAACCGTCACTGCATGATATCTACAAAACGTGATGGTGTTAAAGCTACTTTATAGTATATAGTTATACAGATCGTTTTACGTTTTCCTCTTATAATCATTTTAGATCAAGGCTATTGACATCAACCTCAGACGTCCAAAGAATGATAATCGCGTAGTTTAAACCTTCAAGAAGACTTAGATAAGACTAAGTGCCGTTGTGTTGTCTACAATCTGAGCCCCTCCCCGTATAATTGAGTTTGCTTGAGGACATCATTTAGAAATAAATTTAATCAGTTTAGTCAGGCACATATGGTACCAGGATGGAAAAAAACGTCCCGAAATAGTATAACTGCAGACTGAACCATTATCAATATCACATGCAATCTACAAAAAGTTCAAAATAATTCTAATGATAGGGCAGTTGCTTAAGACACTGGACAATTTTAAAGAAACTTAAGTAAAGATAGATAGACCTGCCTCAGGGCTTCTCCTTTCAAACAATGTTCGAGGCGTGAGATGATTTTCAAACAATCAGACCAGAAACACCCTCCTATGAGTCTTTCTTTTAGCATCAACAGAATGTCCCAAAAGATATTAAGAAGGCCTTAGATACAGGTACTGATTCTCAGGCATGTATATAAACAATGTACAGGTTTCTCCTTAAATACCTACCGACTATTAACACCCAACAGACAATTGCCAGGGTGTCTTGTTTTTCACACTTGTTAATTGTGTAACAACAAGCAGGAGAAAGATCAAACAAGCAGGTTACAAACGCTATACCTATCTGACAACTACAACAAACAGAAGACAAAACACGAGTGTGGAAATCTTGAAACACTATTTCTATGCGATTGGTAGTATACGGAGTTATCTACCCTATTATTCTAGATCTTACAACCCATCTGTTTATGGATGATGATGTTATCCCATCTTTGAAAGAACAGTTCGTACGTAACGTACTCAACTTGATTTAGTACTAGTTGATGTTGAGTATGTTGCATTTTACTAATTCTTTATTTACTGAGTATTTGTTGTATGTATTTTTATGTGTATCCAGGATTACCTGAAAAGCAGGCCAAATGGCCTGAGCTATAATTACTGGTAAAACAAATAAACTGAAACGATTATAAACTTGTGTAGTGTAAAGACAAGTGTAACTCACCGGGTGCGGCAGTGATGACCAAGACTACAGCAGCGAGAATCAGCAGTCGTCCTGTAGCCCACATCTTGGGGCCCGTGCTGTCCCCACCTGAAAATGCGTGTTCGTCGTGTAGCGCGCTGCCGCGGGAACTGGTAAGACCGGTTCGCTACATGTACAGAAACGACCACTTTCCTCTTTTCGTGCGAGTAATTAACTTCTGACCCAGCGAATCTTTCCTGATTGGAGCAGCTTCGGGCCAGGAATTGGCAGTCTTTCTTTTCGTTTTGGCATCTGGCACTATTTTAAGAAATCTTTTTTTTTAATGTTTTTCTTTCAATTTTCTCGTTCGGACGAATAATTCACGTCTGACCCACCGTATCTTTTTGATGGTAGCAGCTTTTCGGGCTAGGAATTTCTAGCCTCGTTCCATTCATTTTGGCATCTTATTATGGTACTACTTTAGGAAATCTTTTTTTTTCTGTTTTCCCACATTTGAATCCCAGTTCTCTGTTAAGCCGCCAACGATACATAGACGTAATAATATAAAATAGTGATTACACGCCACCCGTCTTTCGAATTGCAGGTTGATTTATTTTATTATTCGAAATCATCACTTAGGTTTTGTGAAACCCTTGGGCTCGTGTCTTAACAACTCATTCACTACTGCTTGAGATGTCTCAAGAGTGGATACAATACAACAAATCAAGACTTAAATTTAGAAAAAAATACAGATGAGTGTAGATCTGACTTGTTGACAAAAGTTGCAAGTTTGTTGTGTATTTACATAGTACGTCACAACACATAGTGCGTCCAAGCTAGTGTGATACCGGCTATACAGATAAAAACAACACATCACATCAAAACTAACAATAAAGACCATAGACGGTTTTGTTCTCCAAGTATTACGCCGAGGGGCGGATACCGGCTACACTGTAGACTGCTTTTCGGCTTAGATTTTGACAGTCGGCAAGCTGGACACAAAACCATCATCGCCCATTCCCAACTTGGAAGTAACGACTTTAGAGGCGGGCGCAGCGGCAGAGTACGGTGGAGGCTCATCCCCAGTAGACGCCCCGCCGCCGGGGTGTCCTCCCGCGCTGCTTGCTGCTGTGCTTGGAGCCACGGTGGACTTGGCAGCGACCTTCCCGGCGAATTTGACTCCGACGACGGCCAGCGCGGCGACACAGACGGTACCCAGGACGCCGCCAAGGGCGAGGACGACAGGAGACGGCTCGTCATCTGGAGGAAGGTACACATCAAATAAATGGTCATCACAAACATGTAACGGTCTTAAAATTGTATGGCTGGTACACTGTCTTAACTACTAGTATATTTAGAATTCATGACCCTAGCATGTCCAGATCGCGAAATATCAAAACCGGACGTTGCACTGCAGTACCAAGAAAAGCCACTAGGGGGCCCAAAATTTCATCATTTGCAGTTTTTGCCACACCCTACCAACGCACCAAGTATAAAACCAATCCGTTCTTGAGTTATCTTGTAGACGAACAGACAGACTGAGAAACGCAACTCAAACTATAAGACCCTATAGGTAATAAAGTGAAAGAAAAATTCGTTAGTCAACCATAAACATTGTAAGAAAGAACTGGACGTACCGTCGTCCACGCCTTCCTGTACGATGGGCCCGGACGAGATGGTGACTCGGGTGTCCCCGACCGACCGCCGCTCTCTCCCCGCTGCCTCCTCGGGTTGGGTGGACGGGAGCCACCGCCGGCCGCTGCGCGTGGCACAGGTCTGAGGAAGGTACAAAAGTTTTATTTAAGTTCCTCCTTTTGAAGTTAAACAAATGTAACCTGGGCGCCATCCTATTTGTATAACGGTGCCCCCGTACTCGCGACTGAGGAAGCCGCTTTATGAAAATAGGATGACACCCAGGATAGACGCCAATAATCAAGTAGGCATTCCACAGGTGCGAGGCCGCTGATGTGCTATTAGTAAACAAATTTGACAGATACTACGCGCTAAATGATTTCCAGTGTCTTTAAACTAACCAACAATTTTTGGCCGATCAAAGATTCCTCAGCGTTCTCCGGCCTGTAAAAGACTCGATTCGCAGGTGGAATAACTGCTAACGTCGCATTTTTTCTGCACGGAAATCAGCCTGCTTTGATCGACGTACGTTAAGAACGCAGCTCCAAACCGTATGCCAGTCACTGAGGTAGCGTACAATCTGAACATACAAAAACAAAAATAACTTCAGGTTTTGCCCGTGTGTAAACCAGGTTTTAGATGAAAGCTATAAGGGAAGTTGTGAGTACATACCGGTGCACATGCCCCCGGGCTGACCTGGTCGCACACGCTGATGGTACAGTGTAGGTACACCCGGGGGTGACTCGCGAAACGGAACATCTGCACTCGGAAACGCGCCTGCTTCGACTGCGCGTTCTCCATGATGTAGACGGTCCCGTCTTCGGCGTTGGCACATCTGAAAATGACAGACCCATAGATTGAAGTTCTGGCGACACCCTGAACAATTTCTGTGTATTTTGAGTATTCTAAAAAAATTTTCTTCATCTTCCACATAATTGTGGTAGGAGTGACCTGGTGTGCCAAGCTAAAAGCTTGAGCAGCATCTCTTTAAGCCGCATTGCATTGCTAGAAAGGAAAAAGTCATGCTTCGTCCATATCACCCAAAGGTGACCCGCTTTATCTTTTTATGGGTAGAAAATATATAGATTTTGTTGTAATACATGTTATGGATTAGCAGGTGCTACTCACCCGTCGGTCGTTATTGGGTACTGGATCGTGTCGTCCGCATTGTTGGTCGGCGTTGCCCAACAGTTCCTGAGCCTAAGGAAAGGAAGCGAGAGAGATTTACTTTTAGAGCCCATTTTAGCTAATTGGGAACTATATACAGAAAAGACATACTACTACAGCTGGTGGTGCTGCTGCTACTTCTATTAGCTACTGCTACTACTACTACTACTACTACTACTACAATTTATTCCTCTACTACTACTACTACTGTGAATAAAGTCGTGTTAAGTGCCTTTCCCAAGGGCACAAGATCGGTGACATCAGGCAGGATTCGAAGCCGGAACCTCTTGGGCCTGAGCCGAACACACTACCACTACGCCACACGACCCCACCTACTTTACTATAATTACCGCGTACCTGAGGACCAGTTCGGAGTGGCTGACGCCCTGCAGGTTCAGTCCCACGTACAGGTCATCCTCCAGCGTGATGGACGGAGTTGTGGAGTACGCCGTGCCGAAGGTGGGGCTCTGGAACAGCCCCATGGTCACTCGGAATTCGCCGCTGCCTTCTACCGTAAATGTCTCCGTGCTGTAATGTTGGGTGTTTAAAACAAAGTCATCGCCTTAAACTATTTAGGAAGAGTGAAGTGCTAACCAACAAGCTTACTGTCAGTCCTGATCTTTTTGAAATTTGAAATGACTTCCTCCTATGACCCTTGAGTTTTCATCGAACAAGCAAAAAGCGAAACATAGCACTTCGACGGTACGACTCTTTTAGGGTGGCATTCGCGTTACAATTTAAGGATGGCATCCCGTCTAAAATTTTCAAATCCTGTGATGCAAAGTAACGTTGACCAAATATCTGGCCAAAGCCATGAAAAAAATCGGATTTCGCACAGGCGTAAAAGTCTGCGGACACCCTACATCATCGTCACGTGAGTGTAAGCACACTTGAACTTGACTTACGTGACGACAGGGTTGATGCCACCCGTCAGACTGACGCTCAGGTCCACCGGGTAGCGACACGTGACGTTCACGGCCAGCAGCTTGCCGCGCCAGACCTGCACGCCGGACGGGATCCTGCTGTTGATGGTGTTGGTGAAGACGAAGTGGTCGCCGTCTTGCTGCAGAGGTGGGGAGATTGTATCGTGAACATTTCAAGAAGAAAGCCTCATGGTGGCATTAAATTTAGCCTAGTGTCGAGTCTCTCGTCGGGGCTGCAGGATCTTTTCGCCCGACTTATCCAGGCTCCCACGTAGGTTTTGCACAAGACTTCAATCATGTGGAGCTAAAAATAATCAAGTCCTGGCGTACCAAACACAATTAGCAAAGCGCCTGCTGCAGGCGTAACACCAGGCTACATTAAATCATAATTAGGCAATCAGAGAGAACATACCCACCCCCTCTGGTAGGCCATAAAGGAATTACAATATGTCTCTTCCCTGGGGACAAAGTGAAAGGGTCTCAAAAATAACAAAAGGCCAGCAGAAAAGAGGTAGTGTTTTATGATTTCCAATAAGCCAACTTACTTCTTTCTCCGTCCCACAAGCCGATAGACTTGCGATGTTGAATGTGTAGTAGTTCCCGGCGTCCCTTGCGAGACAGGTGGCCTGTTGAAGATGCAGATCCCGTGCCGAGCTGATCTGGAATGACGTCAGAGAGCTTTTCTCCATCTTCACGGAGATCGACCCCGAGTTGCAGGTCACTTCCAGGGAGACTTCGGTTCCGACTAGACGCCAAACATAACAAGGTAGTCAGAGATGGAAGACTTCACCCTATTACCCATACTGTTTTACTACTCTTCCGGGCTCACAGAACTCGGCAAAATGGCAGCACTGAGGATCTATATGGAAATCTATATCTATATGGATCTATATGGATCTATATTGTGCATATTATACATGCACATGTATGTATATGTATATATATATGTAAATGTAATGTTTAGACAGAAATTTGGAAAGAAAGTTACGTGTACAGTTTTTAGTCTTCTTAAATAGTAGCAATCTAATATGCTAATCCGTACGCAAAGTTAAGCGCTTACCAACAAGGTTTCAATCAGAATGTGTACTCAGAAGTACACCACACAAAAACGCTATCGTATGCAGAGTCGTGCGGGTCTATACCTGAACGGGTTATATAATTAGGGTTAGGATCGGGCAAGTTCTGGATAGTCTTCGCGTATCAGAGAACGTAGATTTGCCCCAGACATGATTCTGGATACGCGTGGACTATCCAGAATCATGCCATGGTTCTGAATAGTCTCCACGTATCCAAGAACATACATTTAACCCTGATACGATTCCGGATACGGATGCACTATCCAGAATCGTGCCCGAACATGGTTCTGGGAAACAACATGACTTCTCAAAGAAAGAAACAGCGACTCACGAGCATCCAGCCTGCGGTGCAGCTGGTCCCGTACGGCCATGAGCCCCACGATGTCTGTGTGCGAGCTGACCGTGTAGCGGTAGGAGCTGTTGGTGGCGATGCCGCGCAGCTCGCTGCTGCTGATGCTGTTTCCCACTCCCACTGAGGCCAGGATCAGGCCCGCGTTCTTAGCGCTCTGGGCAGGACCGGTTACGTAGTCATCTAATAATGATAATGGTTTATTTACTTCATAAGCACACTCCACTTTGCAGCCATTGCTGAAATACATGGACTGTTTACAATGTTTCTAACTACGATATCATATCAGCATAAGTAAGTAAAATATTAAGATTAAAATGGTGAGTTGGTGTCGAAATAGGTTTAAAACATTGCATAAATCTACATTCGTTGATAAAATTTGCGTAGATACTAGAGGAAGGGGAAGGAGATAGAACACAACATCTGAGGAAGGAGATTGAAACAAAAAAATGAGGGATCATGTTTTCCATGTTCTACGTAGCTAGTATATAGCATGCTGATAAAAGTCATCATAAATGACACAATATTTATTCATCAATATGGCTCTATTGTTGGTTAATTCACAAGAAATTGTTACTCATTAGGAACTGGATAGATTTTGAAAATTGTAAGACGTTTCAAATAGCATGCATCCACTACTTTTCGTCATTGACTGTGTCCGGTCTGGGTTCACTGACGAAAAATAGCGGATGCTGACAGTTTTCAAAATCTATCCAGTTGCTTGAGTAATAATTTCCTTGTGTCTAACATTCATCGACGTATTGGTCGATCCATTCACACATTAAATCAATCAATCAATCAATCAATCAATCAATCAATCAATCAATCAATCAATTATTCATCCGGTCAACCATCAATTTATCACAGATCATCAATATGAACAGTGACTCACTCGATGTTGAGTCCGTGATGACCACGAGGACTTTGGGAATACCGTTTCGCCATGACAGGTAGTCGGTGACATATTTGATGGCGTTGCCCGTCTTCCTGTAACTTGTGGTGCTCCAGTTCGGGATACGGTCTATAGCAGAGTTCACCTGAGTTTCGTGTAGTGTTTCAGCATTTTATTGTTCATAGTTGAACGCTATGCTGCCCCTACGGCTAACGAATAGCTAAGGGACTAATGGATAGATGGATAAACACGTTACATGCACAGCCAGGGCTTAGTTATTTGCGATAGTTATTTTGGCTTGGGTGACTTAGAGTAACAAAATTTTTTCTGCGTTAGAAGGAGTGCCTAGCAGGCCCTATATAGCTTCTGTTGTGTCATTGGCCACTTTACACATATTTTTTTCTCAACTCAGGTGAAAATGAGTACCTAGCTCTGGTTAGGGACGTCCTGTCTGAGGTCCTGTGTTTGGAGAGAGTCACATCTAAAGCACCCCAAAGAACCAACCACCCTTATCGAAAAGCGTAGCGGTCATTCCTTTTGTGATTGAATCAAACCTTACAGTCCAGTCTTACGCAGGTTATATCAACTGTACAACACGCAAAAGCACGGTTTACTGATCATCCCAAACAAACAAAAACAAACAAGCCGCACTTTTCTTAAAGAGTACGGGTCCTTGTTATTGGATTACAGTCCGGCCTTAGGCAACTTATATCAACTGTACAAAACTGGTGTATCACGCAAAAAGGCGGTTTACTGATCATCCAAAACAAACAAAACACAAACAAACAAAACACACACAAACAAACAATGACCTGTGCGTTGGTGAGGTGAGTCGGCAGATCAAAGTGGCTGTGCATGAGTGACGTGTACTCGATGACGGCTACCCGGGCGGCGGTCTGTCCGACGTTGAGCGCGGAGACGACGCTTTTTATAAACTTCTTGACGTCACTGTTGCTGACGGAGGAACGTGGACGGGCGATCAGGAAGACCAGGTCCACCGCTTTGGTTGTAAACTCTGTGGCGGGTATATGAATGAATGAATGAATGAATGAATGAATGAATGAATGAATGAATGAATGAATGAATGAATGAATGAATGAATGAATGAATGAATGAATGAATGAATGAATGAATGAATGAATGAATGAATGAATGAATGAATGAATGAAAGATTAAAAAATGAACGAAACAATAGAAAAAATAGATTTCCAACGGTTGTGAGATTCTTACGCATGAAAATTTCGAGAATAAAATTACATTGAAAACTATTTCGAGGAGAATATGGAAATGATGGTGAGTTCAGCACCAAGGAGAGAGCCACGTCTATGTTCCAAAAACAATCTGGTTCTAGATGTACTTTGTACATTCATTTGGAGATTTAGTGTGAGTCTGTGAGAGTAATATTGCTCGTAGCAACGATTTAATTCGATTTTTCTGACTTGTAATGTCTCGAGGTGTAGTCCTTTTAAGACCAAGTGCAATATGTAGAAATAAGACTACAGTATTTAGTAGTGCTCACTTGGATCTGTCAGTGGGACAGTGTAACGTTGCTATTTTATCTAACCTCTTGTAAATATCAAAGAATGAGATTTTATTTTGTATTGTACCGATTTTACGAGGCTCTCCAAAGATGGAGGAAATAAAGAGATGAAATGAAATGAAATGAATGAATGAATGATTGAAAAATGAACGAAACAATAGAAAAAATAGATTTCCAACGGTTGTGAGATTCTTACACATGAAAATTTCGAGAATAAAATTACATCGAAAACTATTTCGAGGAGAATATGGAAATGATGGTGAGTTCAGCACCAAGGAGAGAGCCACGTCTATGTTCCTTTTACAACAAATGAATGAATTAATGAAAAAAATGGACCTTTATCGTACGTTTATGCTCTTACGAGCTGAGTACAGACCATGGTAATAAAGCAGAAGTCTAACCATCAACACAACGGAAGACTGGTTTGTTGCGAAATTCTTATTCATCAAAACTATTTTGCCTACTATGATAATACATACCATCCATCTCTCCTTTCTATTAATTTTCTATTAATTCTTTCTTTCTCTTGGCCCCAAATCTTCGGCTATACTGCACAATTCAACCAGTGAATCGTACATATAATCGCTTAGATATGTCAGTGATGACGTATCCTAGTCTACAAGTAGATCTTACGGTGACAAGGCTGTAACCATGGGCAAAAGGAGTGACCACTAGCCACCGAAATGGTCACCTCCGTGGCCAATGGTTACATTCTTTTCTGTAACATGAAAACAACAGTATTCTAATGAAGTAACCCTTACCCACGCACGGCCCAGAGCTCGCCAGACGGTACCCCGGCAGACAGGAACAGTAGTAACCCCCAACAATGTTGGTGCAGGTTCCGCTACAGCCGCCGTTATTCGTACTGCACTCGTTAATGTCTGCAAAGATATTTTTATAAAAAGTTAGTTGACATTTTAGTTAATAGTTTTTTGTATTATGTTGTGTGTACCAGTGGTAGCCGCTACCAGCCTTGTTGCTGCCTGGCTATCATATGTCATACCTTGTTGCCTCTCCAATAAAGAAAGAAAGAAAGCATGCGTAGGCTGTATCAAAACCAAAAATATTCTGGATTAGGAAACCTGACTGGTGTTGACATTTACTGTCACTTCTTGAGGCCTCCCTTTGATGTTTGGGTACCACTTGTAATTATAGATAGCTAAACCCAGTCTGGGATACAAGACAAGCAACCGTATCGCTTTCCATCGCTGTTTTGCCTGACAGAGTAGAATGACCATAAAATTGAGTTTGGAAACCCAGTTTTGCCGCACTAAACTTGCATTGGATGCCTTTAACTTCAACTTCCCTTCCCTTAACCGGCAATGGAAACAACGTGCCCACGCCCAGTAAAGTAATATATACTCACCGACACAAGTCCTAGAGCCTGACAGTCGGTATCCAGCCCTACAGGAACACCGGTAGCTCCCTGCATTGTTCGTGCAGATTTGGTTACAGCCGCCATTGTTGCTGCTGCACTCGTTGATGTCTGTAAAGATACATGTCCATTTTAGATACTTACACGCCTGTATAGGTTAATACATATAATGATTGATCAATTCTATGGAACTTATGGATTTTAGTCCGATTATAACTGTTAATACTGATCTGACTTCTGTTTTAGGAGCTTTGCATATCAATTTGGACTTATTTCCTATACCTATCTTATGAATTTACATTTGTATTATAAATTTATTCTTAAATTGTACCTCAATAAACTAATCGTTTGTCTTTGGCACAGGACGACGTCAAAAGCTTTCTAGGTTTCGCTACATTATATCTTATACAACAACAATCAACATGAATCTTGTGTTTACTCACCCACACAGCTCCTGGAGCCTGACAGGCGATATCCTGTCCTACAGCGGCAGTAGTAGCTGCCATGCGTGTTGTAACAGGTATGGCTACAACCACCGTTACCGCTACTGCATTCGTTGATGTCTGTAAAGATAAAATGGCACTTAAATTAAAGTGATGCTTAAAGAATTTGTAAATATTGTAGTGCAAAGGCTGTGGAAGACGAAATACATTTTATCTCAAACTGTTCGTTACATGACAACGCTCGAAATTAGTTGACTATTCAAACTTCTACAAGTTATCCCAACTTCCCAAAACATACAAACAAAAAACTATTATTCTTTTAACTTCCCAAATAATTAGAATTAGTATCTTACAGAGGTCGGACCAAGATGATAAAAGTGAAAGAAAGAAAAAAGAAAAGTTTTTGAAGACATTAGGAAAACAGACAGGGACCACCAACCATGTTCGCAAGTTTGGATATACCTGCAGTTATAAGGGAGGGAGCTAAAACAGGACCCTGTGTCCTTAAAGTTTTAACGTCCGCACGCGACTTCACATTCACACGAACAGGTGTAACCAGGTAAAACTAGAGCCCTCTTTACTTACCACTCTGACAGCAGGTCCCGGTGTACCCCGACCTGCACACACAGCGGTTGCCGGATATATAGCCACTGTTGTAACACCGCCTGTTACAGGCCTGACTCTGGTAGCTCGGTCCGCTGCAACCACTGCCTCCACATCGGGCGTGGACAGCAACGTATCTGGTGTTTCGTTTCAAGAAGACGATGAATTACCACCACAAATATCTGTTTTGACGCATTGGACTTTGTGTACTTTATCAATGTTGTTTTCCTCTGTTTGACCGTGTTTTGTAACATGCTGCCCCCCTCGGAAAACACTTGCACACATGACAATCAGTCCCTTCGGGAAGCTAGCCGGGTGTCCCGTCTGCGTGTTTTGGCTCTCCGGTGGTGGCGCTAATCAGACTATAATTATACAAAACTCCTACAGGCACAAAACTACCATCATACGACCAATTGAGCTGGACAGGGGACCCGGGAAAACTACTACAGTAACAGCTCTGACGATAGACGGGACATCAGGGCTATTGTGAAGGGCGTAAAATGAAATGCAGCTTTAACGCCCTAACCTTGTCCTGGACTGGGTACCGTACGCCCCGCACGACCTAGAGCAGCTGGACCAGCCGGACCAACCGGACCACTGGCAGTTAACCCGAGGACATCGTCTGCGGCGGCGGCGGCGCCACGACTGCGACCCGTCCGGCCACAACACCAGCACCAACAACAGCACGACTAGGATGGTCCTGGACAGCATCGTTGTCTCTAAGTACCTAAAGAGTCAGTAACGAACAAATTTTCTCTAAGTAAAGAAAAACGATGCTTGTCCTGTGACATTTTTGCGCCAAGTGTCATCGGAAGTATCCGATAGAATTGGCCTCAAATGATAAATAAAATTTAGATTCATCTAACATGAAAGGCATTTACATATAAGTTGTTTACTAGTTAGACATGTACAGGGTTGTAGAAAACGACGTAAACCGTCTAATTATCATTATTATTATACCATAGGTGCCATAGTTTTATGCTAGAGGAGAAATGGGCCAATTTTGCCATAAAAGTTTCTGATCGGCGTATTTCTTTGCATTGCAGTCTGTCAAAGTGTTAAGCCATTTCTTTATCTCAGAGACTTCTTCTTTTCCTAGTTACAAACCATTCATCAAGCAAATTTGACTCCGTGGTAAATGAATTAACGTCATACTCCTTTCTACGAAACGGATGTTTTCCCCAAAAGCAGTCCCCGCATTGCTAATGAAAACGTTTGAAGCGGACGCGCCCATTGAATGTGCTCATTGAAGCATCGCTACAGCCTCAATGCCCACTGTAACCTTATTCCACTGGCAATCGGCATCTTGTTACACGTTGTTTGTGGTTGAGGGTAAGGTTGCCGTTTTGAAAACAGCGACCGTTACGCGATAGTGTCAATAATGAAAGACGTCAATCAAGATGTTTTCTGGTGATTTTCTCGGAATTACATCAGGGAGGTCGTACTAATAATAATCAACTAATCCATCAGTCAATCAATCAACAAACAAACGAATCTTTCAAACGACTGCGCACTAGTTAGTCGCCCATGCCACGCTTGAGTACGCACGTGAAAAACATGTTTCTCGCGTTTCGTAGCTCGTATTTTGCGTGCACAAGCATGATAGCCTGGAATTTTGCCTCCCGTTCCCTTCCGCGGGTTAGCCACCTTCGGCAGCGGACAAGAGTACGCACAAGACTGGATTCCAGGCTACGAGCACATGCATGTGATACGTATTTATCAAATTCCTAGCGGCCCGGGCCCACGATTCTTTGGTAGGGTATGTACATGTGGTAAGAAAGTTTACATACTGCTTTAAAGTTAAACCTGGAAACTTACTCTCGTCTTGGCTAATTATAAGAAAACTTACTCTCGCCTTGGCTAATTATAAGAAAACTTACTCTCGCCTTGGCTAAGACTTTTATCCGGGTGATATTTGATCATAACACTGGCAAAGAGAAAGCTGTTCGGCTTCTCTTTTGCCTTTCCTGTGAAAAATCCCGGCAACTAGTAATAGCAGCTACGAAAAGTGGACACAGTTTCATGCATACCGTTTGCGCGAGAACAAGTCTGTTCACATATATAAGTTTCTAACCTGAGGTGCAGCTAAATGTATATAAGTACGTGAAGCGGAGCTTACTTTGAAAATACATTAAACTATGAGCGCGTATACTACATGAGGCGCCAAAGCTATTCAACATCTGTAAACTTATAATTCGTATGAGCGCCCATATCAACTATCCACACATACCGATAAGAAATAAAAAAGCTGTAAAAAGTTACTCACCAAATGCCTGGACGAAGTTGCTGGAGTGCGCACAGTTGGAAAGTGCAGAATGGTCTCTCCGGCTCCTTTTATACTGTTTGGTGTGTATCACAATGACATGTCTTTTTTTCGTTTCCCGGTAAAGGAAGATATTTTCCTCCCAGCTTCCAGTAACTTTTCGCGCAATCTGAGAGCGCGCAAAAACCCCGGTGCCTTTCAAACATTGTTGACTGAATGTTCTGGGTGTCAAAGATACATATCAACTGCACGTAAAGCAATGTACCGTGGACACAGATGTTCAAAAACATGTTGACAAGTTCCAAGTATACAAGTAAGTTTTCGCTGAATTGTACCCCATATAAGGTCATTTCCCTCCTGATTGGTCAAAAGTTTCGTCAACACCCAATGATTTTGTTATTTGCATATCTGTAGGTGCTGTCATCGGATCTGAAGAACCGCCAATCATCATTATCAGGTGTTGTCAAAAGCCATACTTTACATGCATGTCGTAACACAACAAGTTAGCCGAGTACCAAATAGCCACATAGAAACAAACAGAGCAGGAAAGTACAAGACATTTTCACTTGAGTTAAGTAAGGAAAGTCGTGTAAAGTGCCTTTCCCAAGGGCACAAGATCGGTGCCATGTCAGGACTCGGACCCGTAGGGATTGGGAGCAAAGTCGGTTATAGCTAGCTGGTGTTCGGCTAGGTCGGTTGCTGTTCGGCTGCGCCAGCAGAGTGTTTCAAAATGTTCCAAACATTCGGGTGTGGTTCAGGCATGTTTGGCGTGTTCGGGGGTCAAATTTGACTCAGATTTAATTCAACTTCGATTCGATTCGCACAGAAAGATAGGCGTGGCCTAAATCTGGTCAGACTACTCCCGAACTTTAGCCAACCTTGGTTGGTTGGCGGTCGGGCGAAAGTTCTGAATGTCTTTAAGGTCTAGGTCGGGGGAAAGTTCCGAATGTCTTTAAGGTCTAGGTCGGGGGAAAGTTCTGAATGTCTTTAAGGTCTAGGACTAGCCTATGTAACCCAAGCTCCGGGGGGCTCCCTACATAGTCCCTACATACATGTAGTTAGGGGGCCGGCTGGATGTTGGGCGGCCGGCAAAAGCGATTTAATCAGGCTAGTCTAGGACATGGTCCAAGGTAAACATGTATATCAAGCTAAACGTCACGTGTTGCAGACTCGTGCTGAAGGTTTGCTGAATAGGCAGGCATGTTGTACACACAACTTTGTCAATACCGTACAACTGATATCCTGACACACAGAGTGACCTTCTGGTACTGTAAACAGAGAGCGTTTCAAAAGTCCCGCCATGGCTGCCTCGCGATCGATTTTGGGCCTGAAATATATCTACTCAGGTCAAGGTCGAATGAATAGAATGGCATGTCTGCCTCGGTCAGAGGGAGGGAAGGGGGAATGAGAGATGAGGGTGGATCGAGAGGGAGATAGAGAAAGACAGGAGAGAGAGGAGAGAGAGAGAGAGGGGGGGGGGGGTTGAAGGACACAGAGTTGCGATCTTAGATGTTAAATTAATGATAGTCTTCAAAATTAATGATAGTCTTCAACCATATATAAGGGACCGGCGTCAGGGGGGTCGATGCAAAGAGAGAAACTCTTACCACTATATATATAAGAAGACCTAAAATACCACCAGAAAACGCCTTTGGAAACATTATTCAACAGCTCAAAGGTTTTTTCTAAAATCATATTCACCATAATACAATAGAAATTGAATTTCAAATAAGTTCTCTTTAAGGAAATGAGCATTTTTTTTAAAAAATCATTCTTTATTCAATGAACAAGAAATATACAAGAACTCCAGGTCATGCCAGCCAGTAATGACCGAGCATGCAGGACAGCATTAACAATGACAACGACTATGACAAACACAGATGACATTTAAGAGCGACTGTCTAAGAGCGAAAAATGCATATTTTGGGTTGCTATAGTTCCAAGTTAAACTGCAAACAAATTTCTGCGGGGACAAGACACTACATATGGTAAGTTGGCTGGTTATTAGGCCTGACTAACTATGGTGTCTTGCCCCCCCCCCCCGAAGAAATCTATTTGGAAATCAATTCCAAGTAAGTAGCTATATACATACTAGTAAGCAATGACATTCAGAGAATTTTAGCAACGCAGACATCTAATCTAGTCATACTCGCTACATCACCAATTGATAATGGTGTATATTAACATCATAAACGTACACTTCAGAATTATTTCTAACATTGATTTATCACTGGACATAGATTGCTTTCATGCTTCAAGCTTGTCTTCACCTTGATTATCAACTATAACCTCTGACGGTATTCAAACTGTACGGTAGAGAAACAAATTACATTGTATAACGTGCCTTTGGGCACAACATAGTAAAATGTGATAGATAGGCCACACCAATTTAATTTGTTGGTTCTCGGAATCGCCGCTTCTGATTTTCGCCAAATCAAAAAAAAAAAAAATTAAATCACTGAAAAAAAATCTAAAAAATCAGAATGCTGCAGTTTTGTCAAGAGTTGATAGGTGTCTCTCTTAGCAGTTGGTCATGTGACGTATGGGAACCAATAGAAGGGCCTGATTTTTCATGCTAATTAGGAAGAAACATGGCCGACTTTGCCGGCTGTGGGCAGAACTACAAATTTTTGAAGAAGCAAAAGTAGGAATGTAGGCTTCTTGAAGCAAGAAAATAATCATGGAGGGCAATCTGGATAAGCCACAATTTCTTATGTTGTCAGAATTTTGGTCACACATGCGTTGAAATTCTATTAGAGGAAAACTTTGCGCAGGTTTGTGACCGTCTTTGCCGGTGGGTTTGATGAACTATATATATAACTTATGCATTATTTCTTGTCAGGTTTAACCAAGGAGGCTGAACTGAGTTCCCCCTTTTGTTAGAAGTTTCAACTACATTAACATGTACTGAAAGTACCCTTCACCAGCACTGAATAGAAGAAAAAAATGCTTCTGTTTTATTTTTAGATTATAATTTATACAATTCAAGATTGCCCTGTCACCTCGAGTTGATAACCAAGACCATGATTATGATTTTCTGAGTACTATTGCCATTTTTTCAAATAGAAATCAATAAAATCAATTATCAAAATTATATTTATTGCAAACCATTTAATAATAAAATCAATACATACCTATGTGGGAATAAGATCATAGGTGGTGAAAACTGCAGTATACGTAGAAGTAAAAGTAACACGAGTCCCCGGGCCCCTATTTCCAGTCCTGGCCTCACCATCAGAGCTTTTTTTTTTTTTTTTTTTTCGCCCTGTCGCTTCATGTTTTTCGTAAAAAAATCCGAGAACCAACAAATTAAATTGGTGTGGCCATAAGTCCATTTTTTGGTTATGGCAGAATCTCACCTATTTTATATCCAATCGCGAAAAACCTTACGGGATGGTGCTGTTGCTTCTGCATTCGTTGATGTCTGTGAAGATATATTTGGAATTATCCACCTTTTATGACATGACAATATATGTTCATGTGTAAAGTTATATTTAGAAACTCTGGATTTCGCCCAAGGTTCTCGTAGCCCGGAGTCCA